TGGGTGGGGGAGACAGGGTCTCTCTGTATAGCCCTGGTTGTCCTACATCTCACTATGTAGATCAGGCTGGCCTTGAACTCGCAGAGGCTCTGCCGCCCACGTGCCGGGATTAAAGGTGCCCGCACTCATGCCGGGCTAGCGGTGTTCACCTGTAAGGGCAGCACTCAGAAGGTGGAGGCAGGAAGAGCAAAAGCCCAAGGTTTGGCATGACAGGATGGCTCAGTGGACAAAAGGCACTTGCCAGGCGGTCTTGGCAACCGTAGTTGAGTCCCAGAACCCTAGTTAAAAGGAGAATGAGAGAACGAAGGCCGCAAAGTTGTTCTCTGACCACACACACACACGGCGGCACCTGGGCCTTCCCCCCACCCCAGCATTAAAAATTAAAGAAATTCAAGGTCATTTCCCAACTAAATATCAAACTCACAGCCTGGGTGACAAGAAGCTGTCTCAAAACAAAATAAAGTACACTTCCTGTTGAATGGGAATGACTTGTGTGTGTGTGTCAAGGTTTCTCTGTGGAGCCTTGGCTGTCCTGGACTTGCTTTGTAGACCAGATTGGCCTAAAACTCACAGAGATCTGCCTGCCAGAGGGCCAGGATGACAGTGGTGTGCCACCTCTCCTGGCTGCGAATGACTTTTACACCACTGTAACGTGGATGAAAAATAAAACTGAGGCCAGGCAAGTCTTCAGTCCCAGCATTCAGGAGCCAGAGGCAGGAGGATGCCAGCTAGAGCCACACGCTGAGAATTTGCCTCAAAATAATCAACAGCTAAATTGAACTATGGTAACTTAGAGGCCCTCCATCCACGGACAACACTCGGTACTCGTTTCCTTGTTCTTCCTACCACGTCATGTTTCCCGCTGGACACAATTGTGACTCTTGGTCGTTGCAGGAAAGCACAGAAGCTTTTTTAAAAGATTCATTTATTTAATTGGATGTATGTGAGTGCTCTGTTTGCATCAGATCCCGTCATAATGGGATGGCTGTGAGCCACCGTGTGGTTGTTGGGAATTGAACTCAGCACCTCTGGAAGAGCAGCCAGTGCTCTTAGCCACTGAGCCACCTCTCCAGCCCTGAACATAAACTTTCTGTTGTTGGATTTTTTATTTGTTTGTTTTTGTTTTTGAGACAGAGTCTCACTATGTAGCCCGGGCTGGTCTGGTACTCTCTAGGTAGAATCAGTGTGCCTCTGCCTCCTGAGCCCTTGGGATTAAAGGCGTGTGCCGCCACCATGCTTGGCAGGTGAATTTTCTGAAGAAGTTAATTTTACATCTAAGTCTGATCTGTTTGCTTTGTGTTTGGAGAAGGCGGCACACCCCTGCCTCAGCCCTCCAAGAGCCGGGGTGACAGCTGAAAGCAACATATACGTGGCCAGAGCTAACTCACGCTCACGCTGCCTCACTACCGCTTCCTAGTCAGGGTGGTTACGCCGTTTCCCATGTAAGCACGTTTGAGTAAAAAAGGCAGAGGGGTAATTTCTCAGTGCTAAATAAATACACACAGCATGAGTGCCCCTTGGGGCAGAACTGGAAGGATCGCTGTGTGAGAGATGACGCAGGGGAAGCCCCGAGGCCCCCGCCATGGCAGCTGCTATAGCTACGACGGTTACTGACATTACCTTTAAGGGGTCCAGTTGAAAATTAACATTGAGTCATCCTGAAATCTAAATATATATGCATACACGAATGTGTACACGCACACACACACATATATATATATAAGCTGGCTTTTGAGGAAGGGCTGATTATAGAAAAACCAGATGAAAAAAAAATGCTAAGCTTCTCAATTCTTTGCAAAAGGCCGGGAATCCTTTCAGTTATGGAAACCTCAGAGAAGTTTCTGGAAGGCCCTGAAGGGAAAGAGGTCAGTGATTTCTCTAGTTCTAGTGAGGAATCCCCGAAACTGAGGGTATGCGACCAGTTGAAAAAGGGGTAGGAAAGAGGGGTGGAGAAGAGGGACATTCTGCCCAGGGTCATTCCTGATCTGAGATATCTGAGGTTCTAAGAATTACTGTAACAGTTCCTGGAACAGTCTGGACCGGCCTCCCGGGTGGAGGCTGTGCCAGAGACAGTTGAGGCAAAGGGCTTTCAATCAGAGGCCAAGGCTAAGTGGTAGTGTGTGCGTCTCCTAAGAAGCAGATGCTAGAAGGCCCAGCAGCTAGGACCGGCCATGAAAGCTGGGGACAGGGTGCTCCTGACCTTCATTTTTCTCTCTGACAGAGGGAGGCTGCTCCCTGACCCTGCACCCTGATGGGGTATGGAAACCCATCCTTAGGAGAGCTACATTTTAGGGTCTCTCGTTCCCAAGACCACGAATTCTTAGGTATACCACGAAAGGGGGACAGGTTGGACAGGCCTGAGCTTTTAGTCTCACGTGCTTTCTGGTTAAGGCGGTGTGATGAGGCACAGCTTAACTTACTGTATATAAGGTAGTGTACACTTGCAAAGTGGAGTTTCTCCCAGCCTCGGATTCCTGTTTGGAAAAATGGGAGCACCAGCAGTACGTCCCAGGGGGATACGTAAGGATTAAATGAAGCATCGCAGGGCTGGTGCCAGTGGTGGGCTGCCTTCTTAGCATGTAGCCCTGCATTTGATGTCCCCCAGAATGCCAACCCTACAAACAACCCAAACCTGCCCTAGGGCAGCAGCCTGAAACATGGGAGCTGTTGCTATGGTTTCCGGAGCCGACACCCCCATTGCGCTGCTGCAAGCTCGATGCCCAGAGGGCCTGCTACCAGCTGTGTTCTGGGTTCTAGAGCTGACAGTGGCACCTTGTGTCCCTCTTTACAAACTCTGTGCTTTGGTCCTGCCCTGGTAAAATGACAGGCAACTAGCAAATGTCAAAACAATGAATGATTTTGTCTAAGTATGGTGGCATATACTTGTTTGTTTGTTTGTTTGTTTGTTTGAGACGGGATTTCTCTGTGTAGCCTTGGCTGTCCTGGACTTGCTTTTGTAGAGCAGGCTGGCCTCTTCTACACAGAGATCTGTCTACCTCTGCCTCCCTGAGTGCTGGGATCACAGGCGTGTGCCGCTGTGCCCGGTGGTGGCATGTTCTTTTAATCCCAGTACTTGAGAGAGGCAGGGCCAGGCAGATCTCTACAAATTCATGCATGACTGGTCTATGTAATTCCAATACAGCCAAGGCTACATAGTGAGATCCAATATAAAAAACAAAATGACAAAAAAAAAAACCAAACCCACTCATCACCCCCATAACAACAACGGACAATTTTCACAGAAAGAGAAGCCGTGGGAGATTGGAAAGAACCACTTGCTAAAACATCTGGCAGTCTGTTAGGCTGGCATGGCGTCCCAGAGAAGAGGTCGACATATACCGGGAAGATGCTGAAGACACGGCTTTTGACTCAGCCTTGCAAGCTGGACGACAACACAGGCATCCTGGACAGAGAGGGTGAGAAGCTGCTTCCAGAGCAGGTGGTTGGTTGGTGTCAGCTTTCAGGCCACTCTTCAAGGGAGCCAGTCCTGTCCCTCGCAGCAGTAAAGGAACCAGGCCCTCCTGAGAGCACTGAGGGGGGGCCGGGGGACTTTTTTTTTTTTTTTTTTTTTTTTTAGGATGTCGCTATGAAGTCCTGACTGGCCTGGAATTCACTGTGTAGACCAGGCTAGCCTCAAACCCATAAATCTCTGCCCGCCTCTGTCTTCCGAGTGCTGGGACTAAAGATGTGTGCCACCATGCTCAGCCAGGCCAGAAGTTTTTGTTTTGTTTTTTTTTTTTTAATTTTTAATTTTAATGTACCCAGCTGTACAGAAGGTAGCTGGATATGAGAGTTCTAGCTGGGTCACAGCCTGCTGTGATGTCATTGAGTCTGTAGGTGCCCTAGGCCCTGGCCCTACCTAAGTACAATGAGCTCCAAGCTCTACAAATACAGTTTATGTGGAGAAGGAGCCAAAGGCTCAGCCCAGGCCCGAAGCCAGGGCTCTTCCCTTCTACTCTGGCTGGGTCTGAGTGTGAGTAATATTTCTTGCTCATTTCTTCCAGTTCTGCCTCTCCTTCCTCTAATAAAACTCCGCCCTCACCTAAGCTTGGATTAGCACATGCCTGGGCAGCCAAGTATGTCATTCCCCAGCCTCTCTTCAAGCTGGGTAGAGTGTGTGACTAAGCTGTGAGCAGGTGCTGTGTGTCCTACATGCAAATAGTATCCTTATAAATGAATAGGTAAAGTGCGAGTGGTGGCAAAGGCCCAGAAGAACCCCAGCCTCAGGACCAGGAGTTGGAGACCAGCCTTGCTAGCGTGGAATTGTATCTTAGGAATGTTTTCTCGTGGAGCTCTTATGTGAGAGAAAAGAGCTTTCTATCTTATTTTGACTGCGTGTCAGTCACTACAGCAGCCCAAACTCAGACCTCAGTCAACTATACACTGGGTTTCAACCATCTTCTTGTTTGCTCCATACTCTCCTGGAATTCTGGTCCCGAGACCCACCGTGTTCCAGGGGAACCTTCTCCCCAGATGACACAAGCACCCTGTCCTGGAAGCCAGCCTGTTATTCCATGCTCGGATTTGAGACCTCAGTCACTTAAAACAAATTCTCCTCATATCTGAAATGTCAGAGCAGGGCTCGGTGGCACAGGCCTGTGATCCCAGCACTCTGGGAGGCAGAGGCAAGGCTGATCTTTGTGATTTCCAGGCCAACCTGGTCTACGAGGACAACTAAGGCTACACAGAAAAACAAAATAAATAAACAGATATCAGGTTGTTAGGTTGCTTGTTTTTTTTTTTTAGGTGCTGGCCGGCTTGCCTTTGGGGCGGCATTGCAAAGAAACAAAGCAATTTTCCTCAGAAGAGACCATAGAAACAGGCACCCAAAGCACATGCGTACATAGCAAGAGGGCAACACTACCAGAGAACTGCCCACAGCCTCCAGTTCTGCAGACCGAGGAAGCCATTCTAGATACCTTCTCCCAAGAGAGACACACCACGCACACAGCCAGACACAGCACACCCAAACACAACAAAGACAGCACAGGACACTCGCGGAAACTGCCACTGCTGTACTGTTTATTGTCGCTACCCCTCTGGGGCATCCGGTTTCTTCCACAGTTCTTTCTTGGGAGCGCCTCCCCAGCCCCACCCACCTACCCCTTGCTTCTTGCTCCTATCTTACGCTTTTGCTGGGTCTGGAAGGACTTTTTCAGTACTCCCCCTCCAGAACCTCCCTTAGGTGGGAGAGAGTCAAGCACAGGCAAAGGTCCTGCCTACAGCTGCTAATTTCTCCAAGGTCCTGTATCCATTGTTGGGCGTGGTGTCCTGTATCCTTTGCTGGGTGTGTTCTCCGTGGTCTGGCCTCATCTGTAGAGAGGGAAAGCAGGTGGTGAAAACGACAGAGACCTGAGTTTGACGTCCAGCTTTCCGACTCTTTTTTTCTATAACCTTAGAGAAGTACTGGCCTCACTTTCCCTTTCTGTAAACCTAATTTCCTCTCAACTGGAAAGGCTCTATGGGAAACTTTTTTTGTGTGTGTGGTGGTGGGGGGGGCTCGGGTCCCAGGAAGCTTGGTCAAATACGGGTCTCACTTTACTCCAGATGTAGACGGCGACAGTGTTTTTCCATTTATTGAAAGGTGAATATATGTGCACATACGTAGTCTCACGGGCATGTGCCACTGTGAGCATGTGGAGGTCAGGGGTTGTGGGGGGCACAAAGGTCCTTGTACTCGCAGAGAAGCACTCGGAGAACCAGAAACGTTAACCATGCAGGCATGTCTCCTCAGTGGAGGAGAGAAAAATCAAAAACCTGCCTTCCATCCAGCAAGCTGAGAGTGGATTTTGTTAGCGACCCAGTGGCCTTTCTGCTCTGTGGGGAGGCATCCCTCACCCACCTTTTTGCTGTATAGAGTTAGACCTCACCCCAAACCCCCAGAATGATGATCCCAGACTCTACAGCTCTCCAAACCGTCACCCATCTGTCATGTGGACTTTACGGCCAGCTGACCTCTACGTGTGGTCAGAGACCAAAACAGACTCGAGGCCTTTTAGCTCTGAGCCCACCCTCACGGTCACATGTACTCTGTAAAAAAAAGAGTCTCTGTGTAGACACACCTTAAGCTTTATTGCGTACCTAAAGCTGGATAATTGTTGCCTGGAAACCTCTTCCCAATTCTACTGTGTGTTAAATATGCTGACAATGAACTGCCCGGCGTCAGCCTTCTCTAAAGCCTGATCCGAACTGATGGAAGCCAATCGGCACGGGGTTCCGCACTGTCATATTTTCCCCACCCTGACGCCTGCAAGGTGTCCCCTCAAGAAGACAACTTGAACCCGTTCCTCTCCCCTTTCGTCACGTGGGTCCCAAGTGCCTTCACCTGCTGAGCCATTTCACCCTCTGGGACCAACTTTTGACTCCCCACCTGGTTGCACACTCAGGCCGCTAAGCGAAGCTACCTTTACCTGCTTGCTGGCTCTGGGCGCCTCACCTGCAGCTCTGCCTCAGCGCCAGGCCTTTTTCCTTTCGGAGTTCTGGAACTTGGTCAGCAGCTTTCTCTCGTGCCCGCCGGGGCTAGGACGGTTGGTGTTGGCGGCAGCTTCTCTCTTGGTTCGACCTTTCCGACCTCCCCCGGCTGGTGGAGCAGGAGGGAGAAGGGACAGGGGCAGAGGAGAGGTGTGAGGTTCAGAGGGAGGCGAATGGCCAGGAGCACAGAGGTGGGAAGGGCAGAACGGCCAGAGGGCGGTGGTCGCTGTGTGACCTGGACACACTCTGCCCCCCCGGCTGTTTACTGTGAAGAATGAGGGAGGCTCAGATGTGATCAAGGAGCTGCCAAGCAGGTCTTACCGATGCAAGGATGGGCCAGGCTATACTGGTCATACTCATCCAGGATGCCATCTTCGTCCTCTGGGTTAAGAGGTGGCCGGGAGGGGCTGGCTGGTGGTGGCAAGGTGGCCATTATGCCTGGTCTGCTTTCTCCAGAGCCTTGCCTGTGTCTCGGTTCCCGCCGATCTGCCTCTCCCGGTTCCCTCACCCCTCTTTATAACGCTGTCTCCTCCTCAGACCACAGGCTGGCTCCCGCCTTCCAAGCCCTGTCTGATGCAATCTGGCCTTTTCCGAGAACTGGGCCCTGACACCAGCCCTGAGCAGAGAGGCACACCCTCCGCTACCTCCTCCCTCACAAGGCTCACCCTCGCCCGCCTGTGTTTTTCCACGTGGAAAAGTTCTGTCTCGGGCGGAGGAGGGAGCAGGCAGGATCTGGGCATAAACAATCTTTGGGAAGTTGGCCAGGGAGAGCAGAGGGCCTCAGATAGGCCATTCCTTTCTGTCGTTTCAACCTTGGCCACCAGCCCCTCCTGGGCCTGGCCATAGCCACACATTACCCCTTACACTCCCTGACACATTCTCAAGCCCTGGTTCACACTCAGGACTTGGTAGCAGCATACATACTGAAAAAGGAGAGAGGAGGGGACACAGACACACTCCATGCTAGGTCAGCAGTTCCTATCTTTCTATTTTTAGCAAGTCCCCTTACTCTACTTCAATAGAGACTCCAGGGACTTCTGCCTCATCCAAGATGGAGGCTGGCTACCTCGTAGAGACAGCAAGTACCCTGCATTCAACACTCTGCTCCCTGAACCACCTCCCTCTGCGCTTCCTTCTGACAGAGTCTTCCTGTGGAGCCCAGATGGGTCGTCCAACCTGCAATTCTCCTGCCTCATCATCCCAAACGCTGGGATTACAAACTCAACAAGTCAGCTCAGTCCAGTGTCTCCTGTGTGACTTCGGATGTGTGTTCTCCCTCTCTGATGGCTTCTGTTTCCTCCTTTAACAGAGGATAACACTAACTTCCTTCATTGGTGAGAGGCCAACAGTAATATAATGCCTGGAAAGGCCCTGGCAACCCTGGCAACCCTGGCAACAGTGTAAGGAGGTGTCCCAATTGCCCATGGCTTCCCAAAGAGTGTCCTCATTTCGACAAAAAGAAGAGTGGAAAAAGAGGAATTAGGAATAAAATTGTAGGCTGGCAGGACAGCTCAGTGGGTAAGGAAGGCACGGACTACCAAGCCTGACCACCTGAGCTCAGTGGTCCCCAGGACCCATAAATTGTCCTCTGACCTTCACAAGCCGCCCCCCACACTAAATATAACTTTTAAAATTTAATAAAATACTGTATCGATGTGCATAATAAATAAACGGCATAATAAATAAGCAGGAGGGCCTCTGAAAGCTTCTGCAGTATAGACTGTCAAAGCAGATGCTGAGCCTGATGGCCAACTGATGGGCAGAGTGAATGGAATTTTATGTAAGAAGTGGGAAATAGTAAGAGCTGGAGGGAACGGGAACTCCACAAGCAGAGCAACAGAACAAGATAATTTGAACACAGGGAACTTCCCAGAGACTCCTACTCCAACCAAGGACTATTTGTGGAGATGACCTGGAACCCCTGCACAGGTGTAGCCCATGGCAGTTCAGTGTCCAAGTGGGTTACATAGTAATGGGAAGAGGGACTGCCTCTGACATAATCTGATTGGCCTGCTCTTTGATCACTTCCCCCTGGGGGGGAGCAGCCTTACCAGGCCACAGTAGAGGACAATGCAGCCACTTTTGATGAGAACTGATAGACTAAGATCAGAAAGAAGGAGAGGAGGACCTCCCCTATCAGTGGACTTGGGGAGTGGCATGCATGCAGAAAGGGGAGGGAGGGTGGGATTGGCAGGGGAGGAGGGAGGGGCTTATGGGGGGATACAAAATGAATAAAGTGTAATTAATAAAAATAAATAAATAAATAAATAAGCAGGTATCTGTGCCCCTCCCCCATCCCTTTTGTTTTATAGAGTCTCACTTTGCAGCTGTGGCTGGCTCAGAACTCCACCTGTAGACCAGCCCTGTGTAGAACCTGCAGATAGGACAGCTTCTACCACCGGAGTGCTGGGATTACAGGCATGCCTTACCACACCCAGCCAGTATGAATTCAACTATGAATTAAACATTACATTTTTAATTTTTTCAGTCCATACCGGCCTCCCCTGTGTTAGGATTACAGATGGGCACACGCCACATCACCAAGCTTAGACTTTTTTTTTTTTTTCTTTTTAAGACTAGATTTCTTTATGCTGCTCAGGTTAAAGTCAATGTCCTGGGTTGAAATGATCCTCCTGCCTCAGCGATGACTTCTAGTATATATACATACACCACCAAACCAGGTCCTAAGTGTGAATTTGATAGGAATTAGCATGAATTTAAGTTCAAATAAGAAACATGAGAAATGGATATTTTTGTTTGTTTGTTTTTCAAGACAGGGTTTTTCTGTGTAGTCTTTGCTGTCCTGGACTTGTTTTGTAGACCAGGCCTTGAACTCACAGAGATCCACCTGCCTCTGCCTCCCTGAGTGCTGGGATCACAGGTGTATGCCACCACTTCCGGTGAAATGAAATTTTCTACTCTATTTTTTTATTGGAAAAAAAAAGTTTTTATACAATGTATTCTGATCAAGGTTTTCTTTTCCTCAGACTCACTCCCACCCACTGAACTCCTTATTCTCTCTTTCTCTTTAGGAAACAAACAGGTAAAATAATAATAATAATAATACCACGAGAAACATGAATGAAAAATTAAAAATGGAGGACATGACTGCTTGATATGGTGAGAAGGCTTATGGTACATATGAGGGAAAACACAGCCAGAGATATCTGGAAGAGTCCAGAGTGAACATGGCTGACAGACTGACTGGGCCTTGTGAGAGAGACAGGAAGAGGCAGAGCGGGAGAGAAGAGAGAGGGGAGAAAAGGGCTGCGAGTGGAGCCTGGGACCAAGTGGCCAAAGGCAAAGAGAGTATCTGGGAACCCGGAGATCAAGAGGCAATAAAAAGGAAAACATACTGGCATAGCCAAAAGGACTGGGTTATACAGGAATCAGAGAAGCTGCGGGAAAAGAATGCCGGCCTTGGGTTGGAGAATGCCAGCCAGGACATCCCCATAACAGGCGCTGGCGATGCTAAGAAAGGTTGGCCGGCAGCGTCTGCTTTGGTATGTTAACAGACACCTCGATTAACCGTTCATCCAAGGGTTGAGACCTAACAAAATACACGCCAAAAAAAAAAAAAATCCATAAAAAAAAAAAAAAAGAAAGAAAAAGGCAAGCAAAACAAAAAAAAAAAAAAAAAAAAAAAAAAGTCTGAAGAAAACAACGTGAGACAAAAGGTCTACAAGAGCACCGGTGTTTTGGACATCTGCTGCTGGCTACGGGGCCTACCCTTTACTGTGGATAAGGTAGCCAGCCGGATTCTACTGGAGGAAACTAATTTTTTCTTTGTCAGTTTGGTTAGGGGTGGGAGTTGGTGTCCACTTCCCCCTCTCGGCACCGGGGCCCCATCTGGCTTGAACCTGGGCAGCCCCTGGGCATGCTGCCGAGGTCTCTGAGCTCATTTGTGCATCAGTCCTTGTGTGTGAAGGACGCCGTTTCCTTGGTAGCGTCCCTACTTCCCGGCTCTTGCAATCTTTCCACTGCCTCTTCCGCCTAGCTCCCTGAGCCCTGAGGGAAGAGGAATTTTCTACTCCTGATGGAAGGATCTGAACCCTGTGAGTCATGTTAGCCCAGAGAGGGTGCCCTAATTCTATCTGTGTCGCTGTCTCCGGGCAGGGAGTTAGACAGACAAAACATTCCACATCTGAAAACAAAGCAAAACTGGATCCCAGTGAAACCGGACCCCCTCCACCCGGGGCCGCCGTTATTCCTCCTCTCACTTCTCAGGCCGTGAGCCTCCTCATTGCTCTTCCATCTTTGTCCGTTTCCTAAAGCCGAGCTTCTATTTGCTGCTCCCTCACCTGAACCAAAACAAAACCAAGCTTCTGTCTCGAAGATCCCGGTGAGTGTGCTTTCCTTAAAGCCCCAGATGCAGGGGCTGGAGAGAATGCTTGTGGGTGAAAGCACGTGCTACACAAGCAGGGAGACCTGAGTTAAGATCCCATCCCCCGGGGGGAAAGCCAGGCACGGCTGTGTGGACACCTGGATCCCGGCACTGTGGAGAGCAGTGATGGAGACAGAAGGATGGCTGGGGCTTACAGGCTGCCAGCCCAGCTCCAGTTCAGGGACAGATCCTGCTTCAAAGGAATAAGGCATCCTCTGCCACCAGCGTGTGCTCACACACACACACACACACACACACACACACGCTCACACCTACACCCAGAGCCATGTGCTTACATCACAGTCACATACAAACATATCCATACTCAGAGAGAGTGATAGATAGGTGATAGAGATACTTAGATAAATAGATGACAGACATAGACAGATGATAAACAGATAATAGAGATAGATAGATGATAGATGGGTATGGAGATGGATGATAGAGATATATATGATAGATAATACAGATAGATGATAGATAAGTAGATAATAGATAATAGAGATAGATAGATGGATAGATAGAAGATGGATGAATAGATAGATAGATAGATAGATAGATAGATAGATAGATAGAGTAAAAGAAATGTAAACTTAGGATATAAAAATAAAAACAGAAGCTTGCTTGAATCAGAGCAGCGTTGGGCTAGTTACAGACCTCACAATGAGATAAAAGAGAGAATAACATTATGTAGCCTGGTCCTGGTATCACTAATGAGAAATTTCAGTTACTAAGGAGACTAAGGCAGGAGGACGGCAAATTCAAGGCCTGCCTGGGTTACAAAATGAATTCAAGTCTAGCCTGGGAAACTTGGTGAGACTCTTAAAATAGAAAGTTAAAAGAAGACTAGGGACAGAACTCAGGGTGGAGAGTAGCATGTTTGAGGCCCTGGGTCCAATCCCCGGTGCAGAAATAACCAAGGCACACACAAGTGAAAGACATTGAGCAATACTGCCGCTGTGGAAGCGAAAAGCTCGAGATCCTAGCATTTGGAGGCTAGAGTAGCAGGGTTTCAAAGTCAAGGTTCTGAGAAACTTTTTCTTAACTATCTAAGGTGGCTGGCCCGCCAAGGGCCAATATTCCATAAATTCACCCACATTACAAAACTTTTATGAAAAAAAATTTAATGTTTCCCTAGCTGGTGTAACTCCTTTTATGCAAAGGCCCCACAACATCCCAGAACATGATGACCCAGAGCTCTTGGTTCTTTCATTTCCTTTGTGCTTGATTATAAAGTAGTCAATATTTTCAGATTATGAAGTCAAACGCCTACTAATGGGATGAGACTCAGTCTCCACTTCTGTTAGAATAAAAATTAAGTGAATCTCCTGCTCCAGTGTGCTTGCTCCTGGTTTGGTTCACGACACACTCTTTCTATAAAAAGAAATTGCCTTTCTGGTTCATGTTCTCTTTATTTTTGTAGTTCTTTATGTGACACTGAGATTATTCTTTTTCAACAAGGCCAGTCTGGGTTACACAGTGAGACCCTCTCCCAAGATCAACATTAAAACAAAGCACAAAATAAATCAACAAACAAAAAACAAAACAAAACAAAACAAAAAACCCCAGAGCTAATGTGTAGTGAGAATTTTGTAATTTTATTTTTTTTTTAAAAGACAGAAATGTTATGGGAATATGTTTTTGTTTTAATCCCAGTTGTGGGGAATATGAGGCTGCGTCACAGCAGCTGACTATGATCTGCCTCATGCTCTGGCAGGAGTGTGTTTTTGCCGGCTCCAGATAATTTCTGCAATTGCGTGACATTTGAAATTCTGGGAACTTTTCAGAGGTAATATAAACGTGAGAGCCCTAATAGGTGTGTGGCTGGTTGGTGGCTGGCTTCTGTTGGTTGTGGTTGGTTGTCAAGTAGTCATGTGCAAAGAGATGAGAAGAAGAAATTAGACATACTGACAGTGAAGACCAAACTTGCCCCAAGAAACGCAACACCCTTAATCAGAAGGAAGTAGTCTAATGAAAATGATGCCTCCCTTCCTTTCTATCCTTTTCTGTCTCCTATCTAACGTTAGAGTAGGGAAGGGTGGAAGAAAGGAAAAGGAACCCACAAAGTAGCAAACACAGGCTACACTAATGTACCAAGAAAATGGCATTCTTGGGGCCCGTGGGGCTTTATCACCATGACAGCAAAAATATTTCCTGTCCTATGACGTAGGTCGGAGTCAGGTGGTAGGGAGAGATATTGTAAATAAGCTTACTAGGTCCTAAATGTGGGACACGCGGAAACACAACTGTTCTACTTTTCTTTTCCTTCCCAAAGTCACACAGAGTTCTCCTTGCCTCATTGCTGAGCCCCGTGCTAGCTGTGAGCTTCCTTTGTTCCTGTATAAAGCCGGCACCGTAAGAACACCTGTCTGTTCGTGACAGAGCTTAGCCCAGAGCCAACACATAACATCCTGTTATTTCCTTATTCCTCAGGGAAGGAACACAGAGGCTCTAGGCTGTCTTTCTAAACAAGGTCACAGCGCTATGACTGGTGAAGGACCCATGATCTACACACGGACCCCAGCTGGGCAAACAGTGGCAAGGGTTTGCACTGTGTGTGTAATCATTTGCCAGGTGACTCTCTCTGCACTCTCTTCCTACCCAGGCATTTGTTTCTTCTGTGGACCAGGCCTTGTACAGAGCGTGTGGAGAACTTCACGTGCCTTTTGAAAGCTCTGTGAGGTAGGGAGATAGCTCTTCAGTGTAGCGGTTCACATCCCTGTCCAAAGTTCCACATATATGCCAGCCATGGTAACACTCGCCTTTAACCCAAGCGCTCAGGGAGCGGGGGGAGCTGAAGCAAGAAGGTCTCAAGTTCAAGACCAGCCTGGGCCACATAATGCATCCCTATCAAAAAATAAATAATAAATAACAGACCAAACCAAGTCCAAGCAACAACCCCCCCCCCACACACACACCAACAGCTACCGTCCCTGCTGTCACCCTGCTCTATATTACTATCGTCACAGCTTCCATTTTACATTAGCCAAAGTATTGCCAGGCGTGGTGGTGCACTTCAGTCCCAGCACTCGGGGTAGGTAGAGGCAGGTGAATCTCTGAGTTCAAGGCTAGCCCAGTCTACAAAGCCACTTCCAGGTCAGCCAGGGATACACAAAGAAAAACAAAACAGACAAAATAACGTAAATTTTCACTTGTTTATCTTTTCGTTACTTGTCTCTACTAGAATCAGACTATTGATTTGTTTAGTCAGCCGTTAAAGGCTCTGGAATCCAGCTGCCTGGAGCCCAAGTGTCCCTCCTGTTGGCTGTGTGCCATCAGGTGAGTTATTTAATCTTAAGTCTTTGCTTCCTTGTTTGTGGATGCTATTGGGGTCTTTATGTGCTTTAAAAGGACAATTCTTGGAGCTCATGAAATGGTTCCTTAGGTAAAGCCTGATAACCTGACTTCAATTTCTAAGACTTACCTGCTTGGTGGAATCAGAGAACCAATTCCCGTAGATTGTCCTCTGACCTATATACAAGTTCTGTAGAGTGTGTGTGTGCCTCCCTCCCCGCTCTCTCTGTCACACACACACACACACACACACACACACACACACACACACACACAC